GGTTTGACATAACTATCACCATGTTATTTGGAGACAGAAACTGTCATGATGACTCACCAGTTACTCCTATTTCCACTTGAGATAAAAGCATAAACATAAGTATATATCCAATGAATGAGATAATTGACACTGACAGCATTAGCATTTCTGCCAGCAAACAGGAATGCAGTATACTATGAAACACTGCCATCTTGGCAATATCACAAATCACTGTTTCCATAAACAGAAAGCATAATCTTTCGGTGAGGCTTTGGTGGAGAAGCTTCCCAGGAGTCATTCATTGCTGAAACTCAAATATATGGTTGCCATGGCACTGAATCTTAATCTTAAATATGCTCATATAGATATAAAAACACTTCCTATAAGAGTCAAGTAGAAAGTAGAAATGGGTTGTGACCTGCATCAGAATCAACTACAAATTAGTCACAGACCTCAAGTTAAAAGCAGATTCCCTGACAATGTTACAGAAAGGAATAGGTGATACAATAGGACTCCTTGACAAAGGTCAAAACTTCCTAAATAAAAATCCAGAAATGCAACAAATCAAAGAAAATTTGGATCAATGGGATTGCATTAAACTGCAGAGCTTCTGCATGGCAAAGGACATAGCTAGCAAGATAAATAGAAAGCCCACAGATTGGAGATCTTTACTAGCCATACAACAGATCAGAGCCTTATATCAAAAATATACCAAAAATTTATGCCGGGTGCTGGTGGCTCACGCCTGTAATCCTAGCTACTCAGGAGGCTGAGATCTGAGGATCTCGGTTCAAAGCCAGCCCGGGCAGGAGAGACTGTGAGACTCCTATCTCCAATAAAACCACCAGAAAACCGGAAGTGGCGCTGTAGCTCAAGTGGTAGAGCGCTTGCCTTGAGCTAAAGAGCTGAGGGACAGCGCCCAGGCCCAGAGTTCAAGCCCCACAACTGACAAAAAAAAAAACAAAAATTCAAAAGATTACTGCCCCCCGCATAACAAACCCTCAAAGAAACAACCATCCCATTAATAAGTGAGCTAAAGAAATAAAGAGACTCTTCTGGAGAAGAATAAGAATAGTCATTAGACACATGAAGAAATGTTCAACATCTCTGTCCATAAAAGAAATGCAAATCAAAACTACATTGAGATTCCATCTCACCCCAGTTAGAATGGCCATTATCAAGAAAAGAAATAATAACAGATGGTAGCAGAGATGTGACCAAAAGGGAATACTACAATGTTGGTGGGAATGTAAACTGGTTCAACCACTCTGGAAAGCAGTATGGAGGTTCCTCAAAAGACTCTACATAGAGCTCTCCTATGACCCACTAATGGACATTTACCCAAATGATCACAAACAAGGCCATACTAAAGCTACCAATACAACTATATTTATTGCAACATTATTTACTATAGGTAAGCTATGGAATCAACCCAGATGCCCCTCAGTAAATGAATGGATCAGGAAAATGTGATCTATCTATCTATCTACAATGGAATTCTATGCTTCCATAAAAAAGAATGATATCATCCCATTGATAAGAAAATGGAAAGACTTGGAAAAAAATCATATTAAGTGAAGTAAGACAGACTCAAAGACTCACAAGCTCCAAGGTTTCACTTATTTGAAGTAATTAGTATATGTCTAGGGTATTCCTAGAAGAGAGTCACAATAGCTCAATAGCTATGTATGTACATATGACCATGTAACATATACTGTGTCAACTTCTTCTTTTCTCTGTCCCCCTTTTGGTTTATTTCCTGTAATCTCTGTTCTAATTTTGGTACCTTGTGTCTTGAATAAATGATTATTGGATTTGGGGAAGGGATGGGGGATAAGAAAATGGTGAGACAAAGGACAAAGTGTGAACCAATGCAAAAGTGATACTCACAAGAGACTGTGTTGAAAACAAACTATAACTTGCGGGGAGAGAAGTAGGGATGAGGGAAAGTGAAAGAAAATGAGGGTGGGGATAACAATGTTCGACAAGCAGTGCTCTTATTATCTTACTTATGTAACTGTAACTCCTCTGTACATCACAATAAAAGAAAATAAAACTTAAATAATTGGGTTGTGAGTAGGGAATGGGATGATCTGGTTTAAGGGCTCAAACTTTAAATTAGAAGAGGATCATGCTCTGTAGATCTAATTTACAGAGGGCAATACCCAAATCTGTTATTATTATGAGAAAGATAATCAATACACACTATGCACATATATAAAACTATCAGACCACTATGTTACATACTTTGAACAGTCTTGGTCTATGAACTATTTTAAAATTCAAAAAGACCCAAAAATGAACCACAGACCTATAGCCATCTAATCTTCAATAAGGGAGCTAAAAAAATAGATTGGAAGAAAGATAGCCTCTTTAGTAAATGGTGCTGGAAAAAAAATGGTTAATCAGTTGCAGAAAACTAAAATTAGATCCTTATATATCACCCTGCACCAGAATCAACTCCAAATGGATCAAAGACCTTGCAATAAAGCAGACACTCTGAAAATATTACAGGATGGAATAGGAGTAACCCTAGGTCTCCTTGGCACAGGCTGAAATTTTCTTAATAGAGACCCAGAAACACAACAAATCAAAGAAATGTTGGACAAATGGGATTGCATGAAATTGCAAAGCTTCTGCATGGTAAAGGACATAGCTAGCAAGATCAATAGAAAGCCCACGGATTGGGAAAAGACATTCACTAGCCATACTACAGACAAGTCTCATACCTGGAACTAAAAAATTAAATCCCCCAACAACGAATCCTCAAAGAAACAACTGCCCAATAAATAAGTGGGCTAAAGACTTAAAGAGAAACTTCTCTGAAGAGGAAAGAAGGATGGCCAATAGACACGAGAAGAAATGCTCAACTTCTCTAGCCATAAAAGAAATGCAAATCAAAACAACATTGAGATACCACCTCACCCCAGTTAGAATGGCTAAAGTCAAGAACTCTAATAACAACACATGCTGGAGGGGGTGTGGACAGAAGGGAACCCTACTGCATTGTTGGTGCGAATGTAAACTTCTTCAACCACTTTGGAAAGTAGTATGGAGGTTCCTCAAAAGACTCCACATAGAGCTCCCCTTTGACCCAGCCATCCCACTTCTGGGCATTTACCCGAATGATCACAAACAAGACCATACTAAAGCTACCAGCACAACTATGTTTATTGCAGCATTATTTACTATAACTAAGATATGGAACTAATCCAGATGCCCCTCAGTAGATGAATGGATCAAGAAAATGTGGTATATATACACAATGGAATTCTATGCTTTCATCAAAAAGAATGGCATTGCCCCATTTGTTAGGAAATGAAAAGACTTGGAAAAAATATATTAAGTGAAGTAAGCCAGGCCCAAAGAAACATAAGTCCCATGATTTCCCTTATTTGCAAAAACTAGTATATTTCTGAGACAAGCAGAAACAGTCAGATAAGTTGATGGTAGGCAAAATGAACCCCAAGATAAGGACTCAAATGGTTTATCTTTCTTGCTATTGTTTCTAACATACTTATAAGATATTTCTTTGTTGCTTTGTATGTCCCTCCCCCATCGCATAACCCGTTTTCACTGCATTTGGTGTAGGTATAATTTGTGGAGGGGAAGGTGGAACCATTACAACAATGAGATGTACAAGACATTATATCGATAAACAAACTTTACAACTTTGGCGCGGGGAAGGGTGGGAGATGGGAAGGGATGGGAAGGGATAGAAAGGAGAAACAAAAGAGCAGGCAATAATGCTTGATAAGAAATGTACTCATTATCTTGCCCATGTAATTGTAACCCCTCTGTATGGTATTTTCACAATAAAAAAAGAAAAAAATGGCCCGAGGATGGAACTACACAGAAGAGTTACTGTACAAATATATGTTTTAATTCATGAACTGGTCTGGTGATTGGTGTTAGGTATTTAAAAAGAGGTAGCTGATAAGAACAGCACCATACACGTGGTATTCAGGTAAGGGGTAAGTTTATTCATCGTTCTGGCTGGCACCAGGCCATGTTGGCCATCCATGCAGCTGGGAAAGGCCTGGGAAAAGAGAGCTAGGAAAGAGAAGAGAAGGAAAGAGCTGAGAAAGAGCTAAGAAAGAGAGAGAGCTGGGAAAGAGAGCTGGGAAAAAGAGTATCTGGGTCTGGGCTAGGCGTTATGTAGGGTATGGGTGGAGAAAGGTGTGGCCACATCAAATTCAGATGTGACCTCAGCGGATGCAGATATGACCTCTTCCAGGTGTGCCAGTTGCCTAGGTAACACAGGTACTGGGTGGTAACTTTGCTGCCAGGAGGGTGGAGTTTGCTCCCCATCCAGGAACAGACCTTACAATTGTTAGGACCGAATTTTAGTGAAATCAATGTCATCCCATATGATATTGAGCTCTAAGCATTCCTTTTGGCAAAGAAATAAGTAGCATTTGATCTTTAGCCTATAGAAGCCCACAACTTATAGTTGAAACAGAGTAACACCTAATCGGTATAAATCATCCTGAGAAAAGTGCAATAGAAATTTGCTGAGGAAAGTAGCTAACTAATTTCAGAATTTCTAACTCATAAGGAAGAGGAATGAGAAAATTTGCTTTTCTTATTAACAAAAGAGATGAAAGGAATAGACTAAGCACAGGATGGGTTGTGGGAATGAGCAGTACAAATAATCTAATGAGAGGATATGTGTAGAAATAAGATGTTTTGCCGTCAAGTGAATCCAAACACAGTCCTGCCAGGCCCGGGTGGCTCATGCCTGTAATCCTAGCTACTCAGGATGCTGAGATCTAATGATCATGGTTCAAATCCAGACCAGGCAGTAAAATCTGAGAGACTCTTATCTCCAATAAACATCAGACAATTGGAAGTGGCACTATGGATCAAGTGGTAGAGCACTCTCCTTGAGCTGAAGAGCTCAGGGACAGCACCCAGATCAAGAGTTCAAGCCCCATGACAAAATACAAACAAAAAGAAAAAAAACCCCACAGTCCTATTGTCCATTGTCCAGCTGCTGTTTCTTTTTATTTCAATATCACAGTGTGATGATTACCACTGGAGGATTTGCTCTGACCCAGTTCAGCTGAAATGGAAATTGCTCAGGATGGTCAGGAACTTCCTTCTTTGCTGGCATGAATTTCACATGTTTCATATCACCATATAACAAGGTGCGGCTGAGCATTGTGTTCATCTTCTGTGTAGAAAGGAGGAACATCAATGACTTTAAGCCTGAAAAAAAAACCTTGAAACTGCTAAGATAGGAGTAAATGCATATAAAAACAAAACAGATGAAATTGAAGACCCTTTGCAAATATAGAGCCAAAGTAAACATCATTGCAGAGCATTGTATATGACACCATCATACAGAACACCATCTAACCTCTTCATCTGAAACTGAGTACTGATCTCATGTCAGAGTTTAACTACACAGCATATAATATTAGAAGGAAATCACCCAAACTGACCGCTCAGGAACTATCTTCATCAGTGTTTTCAATCACAGAACATTTCCTCAGCACAGGAACACCATAGGCAGAGTAGAAGTGTGACAGAGGGAGGGAGATATCAAGGAGACACCACCTTACACACAGCACAGAAGCAGGTCAGTTTGTTCACAGATTAGGAACTGGCTGTGCAGCAGGGGAGGTAAGAGAGGAAGGAGTTGCTGGTAAAAAGGAAACAAGCAAAAGGGGCCCTGGCAAAAAAGAGTTTCAGCATTTGGGAATTAGGGGGGCTGAGATGGAGATGGGAGGATTAAAATGAGAGGGAATTAGGATTCATTTTTAGATTAAGGTTTTGCTGTTAAGAGGTTGTTGCTTACTCTAATTTGTTTTTGAAGGAGAAACAGCAGCACCTGTTTCTTGTTTACACTGCTGAAAATGGTGTGATACTCCTGGAAGTCTTGGTGTTTCCAGAGGAGAAGGGAAAGAATAAAAATAACAGGACACCTTTGCAACAATGCTAGTGCTGTAGAACCTTGTGATTTGGATTTGGAGGGGTTGGGAGAGAGGATAAGTGGTCCTGATTGATGTAGAAACAGGTTTTCAGAACAAGGTGATCAGTGCATCTTTGCTGTGAGTAGCTGAACATTTATTTAGGTTGGTGTAGTGTAAACCATCTCTATTATTTACTTACTTGGTTCTTGTCTAATACTAGGTCCTTATATTCAAATCATATGTTTACTTTGTTTTACATATCTCATATAGATCATCGGGGAATACACCCTCAGGATGGTTATATGCCAAACATAAAGTCATTCTTATCACACATTATGCATAGAACATTTACCTGAAAAATCTGAGCTTTATTCTAAGTTACAATCAGGTGGGACATATTCAAGTTAGATGATTGACTGGGAAAGGCACAGGGCATTTTAAAAAATAGCATATGGCATGTAAATGGTGATAATCTGGTTATATATCATCCTTGCCAAAACTATTTTTGGTCTAAAACAAATCACAGGGAAGGAGGAAGAAAGAAGGGAAGAGGAAAGAGAATGAGAGAGAGAGAAAGAGAGAGACAGAGACAGAGACAGAGAGACAGAGACAGACAGAGAAACAGAGACAGAGACAGAGAGAGTTTTGTGAGGATATAGGCTAGGTTTTCAGTGAAGAATAAGAAAATATATATAGAGAATATATATATATATATATATATATATATATATATTCTATGAGGTTTCTACAAGGTTTTTCTGTGATTTTTCTCTAGAAAGAAGAGTTAAAAATTATTTGTTTCTGAGTTTCCAAGGAAGTTGATCTTAGAATGTGTATATGATTTGTTGAGTACCAGTTAACACTTTGCTAGGTGGCTACTGTTTAGGTCCCAATGAATGAAATCTTAGAGTCCCCAAGGGATGCCACCAGCTTTGCAGAAGCTGATTGCCACCAAGGCTTGGGTTTGTTATTATGGCATTCCTCAGTCCACTGAAAATATTTGTGACTTTTTTATCAAAATCTACTGAATACCTGCTTCAGTCAAGGTGTGATTTTCTGTTCTGAAGACCTTGTAATGAGAATGCATTCTCTCTTTCCAGTGGGGCATGAAGAATTAGCCTGTCAATTACAGCTTAATGCTAGGACCCTCATGCTAATGAGACTTCATACCCTTCTATAGATTTTGACACTGTTTTGTTTTTATTATTATTTTGCTTAGCTTAAAATTCTATTTTTAAAGGAATGCTTTTATTTCATTAACAAAGTCAAGTGTTTGTTTTTTTCCCAAGCAGAAAGCATCAGTAATCTTCCAAAGGGTGTAATACGTGAATCTGGGTAAAGACCTATATAATTTACTATGATGTCTAAGGTAAAAGAATCTGCATCAAAAGCTATGAAATAGTGCTTTTGATATTGCTCTTTTCTTTTGCTTAAGGAATATCTCATACACTTTGTGAGCATGAAACAGCTCTGTCAAAGGCAAGAAGTGGGACACAAGTTGTTAAGCAGCTTCCTCATTGATAGAAGAAATGGTCACACCAGAACCTCTCAGCTTCTAACAGTATCATGTTGACAACTTTAGGACACACTTATCTTGATTACAGCTTCTTTTTTTGTGAAAACATGGCACACTTCTTCCAGTTGGGCATGGAGTTTCAATGGTGGCACTGTACCCCATTGAACAGACACCATGTCATTTCCATCCCTCTAGGATGGAATAGACAGAGATGGCTCTCTATTAGGAAGGCCATGGGAATTTACTACATATGGGTATCCTTAGAATCTCTCACTGTAGTTCTTTCTCCTAAAGTCAGGTAGACTCTGATCAATTATCCCTGGGCAGGTAGTTTAGGCAGCTTCTGGCCAAAGCTCATCACTTGGGCCTTTTTTCATTCCAGGAAAGGCTGGCAAAAGTATGAAGTGCCAATCAATATACCATAAGATCAAGTCACTAGAAGAAATTAATTATAAGACATGAGAGTTTCTGTGAAAAATAGGTACCATATGATATTCAACCTATAGACCAAGAGAAAGCAGATCTCATTTTTGAATTATCCTATAAATCTGGGAAAAATAAATAAATAAACAGCAACTACAAAGAAAGAGAAAATAAAAAGAAGAATCATTCTTCTATTCAACTGATACTTGTGTGTCATTCTCTTCATCCTAGTTGGGCACTGAGCAGGCCACAGATAAAAGCAGCAAAGAAAGATGCATGCCTCTTCTAGTCACATGCACAGAGCACCACGCAATGTCATGGTGAGAGGTACCTGGCTGTGGGATCTGGGGCAGCATTCAGAGCAAAAATAAATGGTTCATCTGGTTCTCAGAGGGATGCACAGATAATCTAGAAATGACCAAGAAAAAGTAGATTCCATGAAGAAGGGAAAGTAAATACAAAAGCCTAGAAGTAGATGGTCCCCAGTGATTCATGCTTGTAATCCTAGCTACCAAGGAGGCTGAGATCAGGGTACATCATGCTTCCTATCCAGGTTGGACTCAGGTCCACAAGAGGCTATTTCCAAAATAACCAGAAAAAGACAGATGGGAAGTATGACTCAATGGCAGATTGCCAGACAAACAAGTAGACCATATATGAGGCTGGGTTTAAACCCCCATACCAGAAAACAAAGAGAAAAACAAAGAAGACTAAACACAACACTAAGATTGTTCAGAGAGAACAATTCTTCCTCTTCAGGATTTTTCTACTTAATTTTAAATATGAAATATCCCTAATCCCATTCCTGACTAGTATGTAAAGAGAATTGGATGAGCTCTATACAAATGAAATCCACCCCACTCATCCTGCTTACCTTTGGCTAGATTACTGCAAGCATAGAAAATACAGGTGGTCATCAAGAAGATATCAAGGAAAATCATAAACATAGCCAGTCTCATTCTCCAGGAACTGAGGCTCAAGTCTAAGGCATCTGAAAAACACGAATTATTTCTCGTGAGACCCAGCCTGATATTAGAAGGTTTGGCTGCTGCTACTGATTCTTGCCTGACTCTCCCACATAGACATTAACAGATAAGCAGAGACTCTACCTCCCTGGCCCTAGCCTTCCTGGTTTGTACTCCTCCAAGAAAGCCAAGCCTTCTGACCCATTTTATTTCCATTTTGTCAAGGACTTAAGCATGGAACAGCAGTGTGTCATCTTCAAAACTGTAGAAGAGGAAAGGGGAGGAGGAATGCAGTCAAAAATTTAATGCATAGCCTATAAAATTAAGAAAAGTGAGTGAGGAGGGAGTTTGGGTATGAGAGGTGAGAATACTCAAAGGAGTGACATTGAAAAAGACACATTGAATTCATAAAATGCTTTTTTTTTGTCAGTCATGGTGGCTGAACTCTAGGCAGGGTGCCGGTCCCACAGCTCTTCAACTCAAGGCTAGCACCCTACCACTTAAGCCATAGCACTTCTGGCTTTTTTCTGCTTATGTGGTACTGAGGAATTAAACCCAGGGCCTCATGTATGCAAGGCAAGTGCTCTACCACTAAGCAAACTTCCTAGCCCCTATAAAATTCTTTTTTGAAATTAAATTTAATTTTTTTCCACTTGAGTCACAGCACCACTTTTGGTTTTCTGGTGTTTTATTAGAAATAACTATGCCTCCATCAGAAAGAATGACATTGCCCCATTTGTTAGGAAATGGAAAGATATGGAAAAAATTATATAATAAATGAAGTAAGTCAGGTGCAAAGAAACATAGGTCCCATGGTTTCCTTTATTTGCAATAACCAGTATCTGAGACAAGCAGAAAAGGTTAGATAAGATGATGTTAAGCAAAATGAACCCCAAGATAAGGACACAAATGGTTTTTTCTTTTTTGCTACCATTTCTAACATATTTATAAGGTACCATGTGATTTTTTTTGTTGCTTTGTATGTCCCTTTCCCACAGTATAACTCCTGTTTTCACTGTATTTGATGTTGGTATAATTTGGGGAGGGTAAGAGAAAAAAACAAATTGTGTAAATAGGGATACAGGTGGACCCATTGCAACAATAATATGTACAAGATGCTATGTCGAAAAACGAACTTTACCATTTAGGCTGGGGGGAGAGGGGCGAGTGTGTAGTTGTGAAGATGGGAGGGAAGGGATGGTAAGGAAAAAAAGGAGGAGGCAACAATGCTTGATAAGAAATGTACTCATTACCTTGATCATGTGATTATAACCCCTGTATATAACTCTGTACAGTATTTTCACAATAAAAAACTTGTTTTTTAAAAAAGAATAGAAACAGAAAAAAAAAAAGAATCTCACTGACATTCCTATCCAGGCTAGTTTTGACTATGATCCTCAGATCTCAGCTTCCTAAATAGCTAGGATTATAGGCTTAAACCACCAGCGCCTGGCTTATAAAATGCTTTTTGAATGGCAACTCCATTGTACAACTACGTAAAGATGATTTTTTAAGTGTAAAAGAGGCATTAATTATGAAGGATATAGAAAAATCACCAGGTCCAACAACTGCTTTCTTTTTTAATAAGTTTTTTATTCTGAAAATACCATACAGAGGGGTTACAACTACATGAGCAAGGTAATGAGTACATTTCCTATCAAGCATTGTTGCCTCCTCCTTGTTTTTCCCTTCCCATCCCTGCCCTCCTATCTCCATGACTACACGCCCCTCAACCCCCCCTCCCCGCGCACCCCCTCCCCCCCCCACCCCCCGCCCCTGCCAAAGTTGTAAAGTTCATTTTTCGACATAGCATCTTGTACTTCTCATTGTTGCAATGGGTCCACCTGTATCCCTATTTAAACAATTTGTTTTTTCCCTTCCCCTCCCCAAATTATACCAACATCAAATGCAGTGAAAACAGGGGTTATACCACGGGGGAGCGACACACAATGCAACAAAAAAATCACCTTATAAATACAAGAAAGAAAAACCACTTGTACTGTGCTCTTCTTTAGCTGGCCTGAGATAACAATTGACTGTAATTAATGCACAGCAATTTGCAGTTCAGTGTAGAGCAAGACATATTGTATTTTTTAGCTAAAATGCATGTAGAGCATTGGATACTTGAATATTTCTGTGGGATTGTTATGGAATAGGAACAAGGGTAAGATAAATGAAGGAGAAAATGACCTTAAGAACTAAAGAAAATCAACCTAATTGACAGGCTGCCTTGTTTCTCCCTAACTAGGGAAAAAAATTCAGGGAGTTTCAAGCTTTCACTGAGTTTTCTCAGAGAATGCATCTCCACTGGAATCTCCCGCAGGAGGGGGAAAGAAGGTTATAGAATGTTATCGGAACCCACACAGCTAGAAAACCACAGAAATTTGAGATCTCCTGATAGACAAGATCAAGACTCAATCTAAGAAGCTGCATTCTAAGACGGACACAAATGAAGTAAGGTTCCTTCTGTGGTGAGGTTCCAATTATCACTGAGCATGAGCCACAGGTCCAGGTAGATCTGCTCTGGGGATACCACCTGGGGTCCAATAAACCAGCCAGGGAGGAAACCTTCCTCTCCTAGACTCTGCTGAGATCTGTTGGGTCATTTATAAAACTTCTAATTGACCTGAATCATGAAATGGTAACCTCTCTGTACAACATCTTAATAATGACAATAAATCTATATTTATAAATGATATCAAATGATTTACAAGATTTAAGATATAAAACAAAAAATCTAGTTGGTAGTAATTATCAGAGTTGTTTAAAATTTACCAGCAATTTACTTTTCAGCAGACTAGAGTATTTGAAAGGATCTTGTCAGTGCTGACCACTTACTGGGTAAATGTGGTACTAAGGACATCCAGGGTCTATGCAGAGTGTCTGTGATGGATGAGGACTAGTCTCCGTACTAGTTGCCAATGAGAGAGAGGCATAGATGATCGTCCCCACATCATAAGGAACAGGAAGAAGCATCTCCTGACTTTTAGTCATTATTTGTACTAGTAATGGACTGGGTTGGTTTCATCTAAGTGGCATTTAAGGAGGAACATACAGAAACTCTTCTATGAATGTAGAATATTGCCTTATGATATTTATAGAGAGCAGCTGATTCAGCTAAGTTTATGGTTGAGACAATCCTACCTTTTATCCATCAGGACAGACCACCCTGCCACCCTGCCCCGCTGTGGGAAATGTCTATGCACAAGTGTGTTCAAGTGCAAATCTGTGCAGCTATGTGAATAAAATAAATGTCATAAAGGGGAGACGGTGTAATGTCACTGGAAAAGTACACTAATATGCAGAAAGTTAGAATTGAGAGTGAGCTAGTCAGACTGTTCCTGTCCCTGTCTAGCTCACACTTGGGAATGAGAATGGCATTAGTAGACTGGGCTGTATTTCTGGCACTCTGTAGTATTGGGACAGATTCTTTGGTAATGACCCTAAACAATCATTTTAAAGAAAGAGAAGAGAGATGAATATATTTCAGTTAACACAAGAAAAAATTTGAATGATTTGATCAAACGAATGGTATTCTGGCATTTCATCTTAGTGTTATGTAGACTTCAGCTACCTTTGTCCATTCACACTGAGTATAAGTATACTAACTGGAAACAAACACAGTATTAATTTTCCAGAAAGTATTCATTTCAGGGGGAGGGAAAGCGGGAGAAAAACAAGGGAGGAGGTAACAGTGTTTGACAAGAAATGTACTCTTACAAATGTAACTATAACCCCTCTGTACATCACCTTGACAATAAAATTAAATTAAAAGAAAAAGAAAATATTCATTTCTCAGACTTACTTTTAATAAGCAGTGTAACCCTGGCTCCTGCAAAGTATGTGGAGCTTACAAAGTAGCATGTGTAAATCCCTCCATCTGAAGGATGGATGGAATTGATCTTCAGAAGCACGTGTCCATTGGTGATATTCTCCACCAGCAACTCTGTCCTCTTGCGGTACTCCGGTGCCTGCCCCTCTGTGTAATCCTCACCATTCCTAAGAGCATACACAAAGCCTGCCCGGCCAATACGATACCATGTTATGTTCATGTTGCTAGCATCCATGGATGAGCTAAGGTAGCAAGGCAGAAAAGCCTTTTCTCCAACCAAGGCAATGACTGGTAATTGTGGTCCTCTCACATCAAATTGTCCTGTAAGTGATTAAGCAAAGGACAGGGTCATTGCTGAGTGTGTAACAGGCCTGATTTTGACTGTCTGAGGAGTGAGGAAGTAGAATAGGTTTATTTTCACAAAGGGTTGTGGTCAGTGAATGAGAAGTTCTAAAACAAGAATGCCCAAATACATTTTTGCATAGGAGTTAATAGCAACAGATATAACAAATGTATACCAGTCAAGTCATCTAGACAAAGTTGAAAATCAAGTTCATATAAATCACTTTAAGTCTCTTAACAGTTCTATATTTTGTGGAATATTGTCTTCATTTCTTCAGTTTACAGATAAGAAAATTAAGTCTGTGAGTGATTGACTATCTTGTCCTGTTATCTGTACTTAGAAAAGCATTATGTAAGAGTTGGGATATAATTCACCAAATGTTTCTTTGATTTAAACCACAGTAAAGTATGAATGCACTAAAAATAATGTTTCATGCTAAGAAAAAACTGAATGTCATAGTACTTTCTCAGTGTAAAGAAAGAATGTAAAAAAATAAAAATAAATAAAGTAGGTATTTTACAAATATACAAAAGACTATATCAGAACTCAGTTATAAAATAGGAAATGCAGATTTCGCATCCCTAATCTGAATATCTGAAATTCAAAATGTTTCAAGACCCCAAACTTTGTGTGGACTGATACGAGGCTACAAGTGCAAAATGCCACACGTGACTTCATATGGTGAGTCAGAGGAAAACTGAAGGTACAGAGAAATATGGAAGATATTTCATCTTTAAGAAAAGGCTCAGGGAAAACATAAAGTTCTGTCTAAAGATATTTCTTACATATAGATAAATATTTCAAGATTTGAAAAGGCATAATACCCAAAACATAAAGTAATTGTTTTGGAAAATTGATACTCAGCCTTTGAAAACCTAAAGAAAACCACTGAATTTTGCCTCGAAAAAATGAAAAGAGATTGATCCTCTCCTGTTATTTCTTGGGATATTTGCTTGAGATTTTCTCTGTTAAGAATGCTCATAGCGGGCTGGGAAGGTGGCTCTGTGGTAGATTGCTTGCCTTGCATGCATGAAGCCCTGGGTTTGATTCGTCAGTACCACATAAGCAGAAAAAGGCAAAAACTGCACTGTGGCTAAAGTGGTACAGAGCTAGCCTTGAGCTAAAGAGCTGAGGGGACAGTGTCCAAGCCCAGAGTGCAGGCCCCATAATTTACAAAAAAAATGCTCATTTTTCACTCTTGCATTGGTATTTTCCATTTAAATGAAGCACTTATGTTTACATATGTTGTCTGGGATGCACATCTCTTCTTATGAGGAACAATTCCTATGCTGGAAATGGCTCATTGTATCAGCTCTAACATCTCTTTTGGCAGTTCTGGGTGCTTGGTAAGAATTCTAGCACTTAAATCTTCTCTCCAGCCTTTTTTGCTTTAGTTATTTTTTTCAGAGAAAATTCAGATTCTAATTCAGTCTGGAATACCAGAATTATGGAATTGCATGTGTTCCAAATCTTTTATGTTTTAATATGGAAGTACAAAGACAATAAAATAAAAAGAGAAAAGTAAAAGAACTGAAGCCACGGGAAGATCTTGGGGTCCCAGAGCCCTGAGTGCAACGTGTTATTCTGTCATGGAGCACCATATGGCACAGGCTGTTACCTGGGCTCAGATTTAGACAGATGCATAGGATATAGTGCAAGATTAATCCCATAAAAAGTCACTGAATATATCGTTTAATGCATAATTGTTTAAAAATCATCAATGTGGGGTTGAAGAAGGTGGATGAAGGAGTGACATCAAACAAGATGCATTGTAATCCTAAACTGAGGTACAGAATAGTTCCTTTGGACAACTACTTAAAGATAATAAAGTTTGGTATTGTTATTCCTCCAACACCATTCTGCCTGCTAATCATTATATTTGCTATTTGGGGTCTTTTGTTGTTCCATATGAATTTTTGGATTGCTTTCTCCATATTATTAAAGAATCATGATGGGATTTTGATAGGTATTGCATTGAATTTAAAGATTGCTTTGGGCAGCATTGCCAGGCAATTCTTTCCATTTCCTTAAGATTTCTTCAATTTCTGCACATACAAGGACATAGTCCATAAGTTAAGAAGACTGCTTCCAGAAAGAGAGAAGGTGTTTTCCACATTAAATCAGACAATGGCCTAATATCCAGAATACACAGAGAACCTTAAAAATTAAATCCTCAAAAACTCAACAATCCAATTAATAAATGGGCTAATGAGCTAAAGGATCTTCTGAGAAGAAGTGAAAATGTCCTCAGAGAAGTGAAAATGTCCAACAGACACTTGAAGAAATGCAACATATCTGCCCATAAAGAGAATGAAAATCAAAACAATATCAAGATTCCACTTCACCTCAGTTAAAAATGGCCATTATCAGGGAAACAAACAAAAACAGGTGACCCTATACACTGTTTAGGGGCATAAGCTTGTTCAACCACTGTGGAAAGCAATGTGGAAGTTCCTTAAAAAATTAAACATAGAGCTACCATACGATTCACTCCTGGGCCTTAATCCAACAGATCACAAACTAGCACAACCATGTTTACTGCAGCACTATCCACCATAGCCAACATATGGAATCAGCCCCGATGCCCTTCAATGGATGAATGGATCAAAAAATGTGGTGTATATACACAATGGAATTTTACTCATCCATGGAAAAGAATGATACTGTGGTCCATTTGTAAAGAAATGTAAAGATCTGGAAAAAGTTATACTGAGCTCAGTGAGTCAGGTGCAGAGAGAAAAAAGGATGTATGTTTTCCCTTACAGATGGAAGCTAGAATTAGCTTATAAGCTAGCTTTGTATATGTTGGGTGGTATACAAGTGAACACAAATGTACTAACTGAAATAGGATAGATTCGAGGGAGACTTCAAGTAGTGCAATTCCTAAGAAAAACAAAGTTCAGAAAAATGAAATATCAGAAAGTGAGTAATTGAAAGGAATGGGGTAGGGTAAGGAGAAAAGAGTAGATGAATGAAGAAGACAAGAGGGGGAAAATGGAGTGAAGAATCCAATGTATGTCCTACAAAATTAAGAAAAGTGAGGGAAGTGGTAGGTGGGTAAGGAAATGTATGAGAATGTTGAAAGAGGTAACATTGATCAAGGTATGTTGTATTAATAAATTGCTTTGCTAAATGGCAATTCCTATGTACAATTACATAAGGATAATAAAAAATGACACTAACAATATGATTTAAAAATACTTGAAAATTGAATGTTAGAAGAAAATTTGGAATAAAGGACTGTCTATAAGATAGCAATATGACAATATCTACTGTTTATTGAGTACTTATAATACTCTAGGCAGATTATATCTCATGGTAATTAAACAATTAATAATAAAATTAATACTTTGACATCTTACCCTGCATGATTTAATATAATGCAGGCAGGGATTTTTGTGTTTCCTGTTCTTCACTGTGTTTCTCAGGTCTTAGTTTTTTCATCTGTGAAAGGACTAAGTTGAATTTTATGGCAGTTGGAGGGCGGCTTTAAAATGTTGTAATTCTAAACATAAAGGTCATCATTTTCAGATCTGGAATTGTCAAGATGAATAAATCAATCTACCTGCAAAAATGGTCATCACTGGATATTTGAAGTATTTCATCCTCAAAAAGAAAAAAAAGAGAGGAGAGGGAAGAGAAAGAGAACCAGGGAATAGATAGACGAGAGAGATAAAGCCTGTGACCTCCAGCTCAGGAAATAGTGAGACTTCGGGGAATTCTGAAGAACAGAAATACTTCTGAGAGAGGCTCCCGTGTGGACAAAAAGTAGCTGATTCCTCCTCACTCACCCGAGGCTGGCCAGTATAGCAGGAAGGAGAGCAGGAGGATCCTGATGCTCAGGTACCAGGGCTGCATTCCAGACTCCTGTCTTCCCCTGGACTGTCTCAGTCACAGTTACAAGGCCCGGTGAATATATGTTCCCGCTCTTCCTAAAACTTTTATTCAATCTTTTCTGATATTAAAGACCTAGGATAAAAAAAAAAGAAAAGGAAGAAATATTCACCAGCACTACTGGTTACATGGAGAAGCAAATACCTCATAGTGCAAAGAAAAACTAACCCTAAATTATCTGTATTTTTTAAAAATTTAGTTCATATTATGATTCCATTCTGTCAGTGATCAAACACAGCATCTTTTATACATACAAGATGGGCAAGCTGCATTCTCTTTATTCAGATTTTAGTAAGGTGTCATGCAAAAGTGAGCAAATTTGACCACAAAAGTACTTAAACCACATTTATTTAAAAATAATTGGATAATTTTGTTATTCTGTCCTCACAAAGAAAGGTGTGTGTGTGTGTGTGTGTGTGTGTGTGTGTGTGTGTGTATGTTTGTGCATGTGTGTGTGTGTACATGTGTACCAGTACTAGCGTTTGAACTCAGAGCAAGGGTGATCTCTCTTAGCATTTTTACTCTCCATCTCTTAAATGACAGATCCATTTCTGAAAAGTTTATTTTTATTTTCTCAGTTACAATTGTATACTCTTCATTTACTCTTCTCTGGGTAGAAACATGTAGCAACTTTAAGTGACTGTGACAGTACATTATTAGTCATTAGGAAAATACAACATAAAGTCATATGGAAAAATACTACATGCTTGTTAGAATAAGACAGATTAAAAAAAGAAGGAAAAAGAAAAGCCCATTTCCCATAGTAGGAATGTTAAGGGATTGATTGGCATCTTAGCAATTGGAATGCAAGAAAAGTACACAATAGACAAGCAAATCTGACTGCTTCTAAGCATTCCCTTACTCTGGACCCAAAGAGGAGAAATAATTAATCTCCATGTAAAAAGTTTATAAATACGTGTTCCTACCAGATCAGAATTTAAAATCATTTAAGATGTCATTTTTCAGTAAAGATGTTTGATTATGACTCCATTATTCCATGAAAAGAATATGTAGATGTAGATAGACATATACTTCAGAGTCGAGAGCGCCAGTGTCCAGTGGTTGCAGATTGGACAATTCCATTTGCATGGAACACTATGAAAAGAAACCTGACTGACCCAGAAGGGTGTAAAGATGTAAAAGGAGGCAGAGTGGGGTGTGGGTGTGGGTGGTAGGGGAGGCATGAAACAGAAAGAAAGCCAGACACAGCACTAGGGGCTGTTTGAGAAGTTGCAATTTTTCTTTGTCAAAGGCCATTGTGCAATTCTATATATGTATGTCAAATTTCACAATTCTATCAAACAGAAAGACCCCACTTTCTGAGTGTAAATTCACAAAAATTACTGGTAAAAACATTTTAATTTTTAATTTTTAAATGTTTTTATTGTAAAAATTGTGTACAGAGGGGTTACAGTTGCAGGAGTAAGGTGATGAGTACATTTCCTATGGAGCATTGTCACTTCCTCCTTTGTTTTTCCCCTACCATTCCTTCCCTCCCTACCTCCCCATCTCCCCCCTCCCCATCCTCCCAAGTTCCCCCTCCCCCTTTCCTACCCTTATCTCCCCCCTCCCCCGCAAGTTGTAAAGTTAATTTTCAACATAGTGTCTTGTACATCTTATTGTTACAATGGGTCATCCTGTATCCTTGTTTCAGCATTTTGTTATTTCTCTTCCCCTCCCCAAGATAGAAAAATGTATATACAAGATGCTGGGCACAGATATCAAATACAGTGAAAATGTGGGTTGTATCATGGGGGCAGAACATACAAGAGAAACAAAAAAAATCACATAGTACATTTTAGATATATTAAAAACTATAGCAAGAAAGAAAAAACAAGTTGTGTCCCTATCTTGGGGTTCATTAAAAAAAACATTTTAGAACTTGAGCAAAGTACAATGTACTTAGAACCCTATGAACTATCAATGAAACCTCATGTGCTATTAAAGTACACTAATTAAAAAGAACTTTTTGATATACTTAAAATCTGATGTCAAAATTAACAAAAGATAGTTATAAAACAAAAATTCTAAACACTATTCAAGAATAAATTCATGAGACTAGCTTTCTTCTCTCCTTGCTGCAGGAATCCAAGAATTCTTTCAGTGAGTATTAGAAGGTATCTATGGATTTTGTTACCTTTATAGTCAAAAAGCACAAGTGCTACTTACCCACATTAGAAAGGTAAGCAGGCTGCCAGGCAGGGCCACTAAAGTAAGTGGGTGGAGGAGGGTGGTAGCCTGAGCTGCAGGGAGCTGTTTGGGCGGGGCAAGTTAGGGGAGGTGTCTAGGTAGACCCCTGGGGATTGGCTAATTTGAATAAATTCCTAGGTCTAGAAGAAACTGCCCAGGCATGGTATCTGGTGGCAGAGAGCTAGGGTGGATACAGAGGTCCTGAATGGGAACCTGATAAAGAGAGTAGCTAGGGCCTGGTCATTATCAACTTCCCTTAAAAACAAGAACTGCCTTGCTACCAGCCAAAGCCTCAACGTTAAGTACAAACAGCCTTCTTCTTTTAAAATGAGGAGCTACAGTATTATTATTCCCTTAATGTTTTGCAGTAGATGTTTTTAATTTTTTATTGTAAAAATACTGTACAGAGGGGTTACGGTTACTTGATTAAGGTGATGAGTACATTTCCTATCCAACATTGTTACCCCCTCCTTTGTTTTTCCTCTACCATCCCTTCCCTCCCCACCTCCCCAATTCCCCCACCCCCGTAAAGTTTGTTTAAAACATAGTGTCTTGTACATCTCTTTGTTACATTGAGCCAACCTGCAGTAGAGTTTTGACCTCATTTTTTGAGATATTTGTGAGGTCTATATCATACAACTGTGTTTCACAAGGTAGAAAGTAGTTGCCCTCTGAATTGAGGGAAACATTTAATCTAGGAATAAAAATGAGGAATAGGGGTCTAAGCAAATCTCTAATTTTGAAGATACTATAGAGAACACAGATCTGAGATGTGGAATAAATCTAGAAATATATTGGTTAAGTGTTATACTGTGCATATATAGATAGTATTATAGTCAGTTGGTTTTTTTGAAATAATATTGTATTCTTAGAACAGCAGATGTAGGTCTGGAAGCAGTTAAATTTTTGGCAGGCTTAAACTCAGAGTTTAGTTATGCATACATGAAGATTGGTGGTGTTGATGTGTGAACAAGGAGGGGTATCTGGTCTGTGGTTGGAGATGTAGTGGAATAGGTCATGGTACAAAAATAAACAGCAAAGAAAACCCTGGAATATGTGGCAAGAAGAAGACACAAAATTGAATAATCATCTCCTCAGAGAGAAAGAAGTAAATGTTTCCCCATGACCTAATTATAATATTCTCTGTTACATTTTTAATGGCACGGATAGTAGTGATCTTTCTCATATGTCCTGCTAATCATGCGAGTATGGCAGTATATGTTTTGAAGTAGGGTAAAGAGTGTGCCAGGATCAAAGATGAAGAGAATTAACACATTAACATTAAATAACATCAAAGGAAGAAAATGCCACAGTATTCTGGGTCAAATTCACTAGGTCTATAGAACGTAGATCACTCGGATGAAGTTTTAGGGTCTGAAGTGAAGTCATCTTCCACAGAGTTCCTTTAGGTGGTTTCTGGTTCTGTCACTCTGTGCTACTATAGCAGAGCCACAGCACTTGTAAAATTCAAAGGTAAATGTTACACTTAGCAGTTTGATTTGTAAATACTTTGAAATCAGGGACCTTTGTAAGGGCTCACCAAAGATTGTGCTCACATTTGTGACACTGCCTAAATGGATTCAAATACCAGGACTCATGTGACACAGTAAAGAGATAGCTGCTCTAAACGCCCTTAAAAATCCAACGTTTGTCCTTAGGTTGGTGAGAAAGAAACAATATTAATAATTTATGCACAAACAAGCCCAACTCAAGAATGGTCAGGTCCTGATTCATGGGACAATATATGGTTAATGGAGCTCAGATGTACATGACCCTATGATCTGATCTGATGGATGAAGATTCAGTCAAAGACTCAAAAGGTTATGGTGATACATTAAAGACGCTTCTGTGAAAAAGTCTATGTATACAAAGAAGAAGTACAGGAAAATATATGAAGTAGAGGTGACAGGATTTCTAGATTTGGAGTGAAGGAAAAGGAGGCCAAAGGACTTCATATTCATATTCATGGAGATTAAGTTTTAGGCCACAGAAGTTACCTTCTGAGGGACCATTTGTCATTCTACATATCAAATAGTTATAGTTGTTGTTGTTGTTGTTGTTGTTGTTGCTGTTGTATAGTCTATAATTAAACCAGCTGTCTGAGATCTAGCAGGGAAAGTTCTTCTGAAAGCCATTTGAAAGAACTCAATGTATTTTTTAATGTGTGTTTTAGCAACTGTCAGACATACATGCAGCCGTGAAAGGGCTGAGGAGCACTGTAGCAAGGTATTGTATAGTAGCCTTTGAAATTGTGGAGACAAAAATGATTTTGATTTATCTGTCAGATAAGAGCTCCCCAGATGCCAATGACCAGGTCTTATTTCCCTTAACATACTTGAAATGGTGAAAATGATGCATAGCACACACACACATGTTGTATGAGTGTGTATTCTAGGCATCAGGCCCAGGGCTTTGCACATGCTAAAAACACATGCTAACATTGACTGACATTCCATTGATCTATTTTTTCAGTAAAGGTCTTATTACACTATGGTTTGTGAATATTTTTAAGGATATGAATTTTTGGACTGCAGAAATTCATTTTAATTTGCTTTAGTTCTTCAAGTTCTTTCGTCTTTCTATTGGATTAGAAACTAGGGATTATTTTTAATATGTTTTATTGTAAAAATACTGTACAGAGGGGTTAC